CAAGGTGCCGTAGAAAGACAATCCAACTATTAAAACAGTAGGTTAAGAAAAAGGAGGAGAGATGCCGTTAGTAATGAAACCAAACCTCAAACTAAAACAAGGGATTTAGTACAAGAGAATACCGAATAAGATCCTAAATAAAATATCCGCGATGAGAGTCCTCTGCGCGTCCTGGGGATGTACCTTTGTCGCGCGCCGGAGACGACTCGACGCCGCTGAGATCGGAGATCAAGCTCTGACAGGTCGCACGTCGCTCCTTTGACGCCGACGTGACTCACCCGTGCAGATCACATCAGGACACGGTCTCGACGCGCTCGGTACGACGCCTGCGACCCGTCTTGGGTCAAGTGGCACGACGCTCATCGCGCCTACCAGCGCTGCCGTACAGGTTGCCACGACGAGGTCGAGCACGCTTCTATACGCTCGCCCAGCCTCCCTTTCCATCCCATTAGGCAGCCTGGGAACGGTGGCGGTAAGAGGCAAAGCCTACGAGGGGTGGTGGAACCACATGTCGCGGCTACTGCCGGCTCGACCCCACGATAGCCTCCGGAGGCTGACTTTGCGGCACCATCATCGGACGATGTCGACGAGTTGGGTCGCGCTCGCGGTAGCCAGGTAGCCCCCCATACTAGTAGCACCGGCCATGGCCGCAGGAAGCTCGGGGGACGGCGCTGGGAGCAACACGGAGCTCCGTTGGACGCGTTTTCAAGATTAGCGTGTCAGAGTGAATTGGAACTAGCCCATGACGTCCACCGCCGCCGCGTTGGGCCAGGGTAGGCTCCGCCCCACTGTGATTCGAACTGAGCGACGGCAGGACCCTTTGAAGTCATGAATGGCGGCGTCCGGTGAGGCCCCCACGGCCGGGGGTGGTAAGTGGGTGATAGGAGGGCCATAAACGACCATCACATCGGCCATAGGACCCCTCCCCCCCCCCAAACAGTCCAAACCGGCCCCGGCGGCGGCGGCGGGACGCACGCCGGCGCAGCATCATCAAGCTGCTGTACGGCCCCGGCATCGCCTCCCCTGGCTTAGCTCTCAGTGACGATCATTTGTAGGGTCTTTGG